ACCATTAAACAAGAAAATGGTTACACCAAAATAATGACCATTAACCAAGTTCATGAATTCTATTTAACCTCCATTCATGACCAAGAGGTTACCAAAGTAATAAAACCCCATTTATGAAAAGATAAATCAATAAATAAATATAAGATATTATAATGATCCAACAATGTCTTCTGTAACCTGTATCAGGCTCTACCTCTAAATCATTTAAATCATCTTGTCAGCAATTTTCAACCCCCGTTTATAGTTCTCTTCCCTAAACACACCTTTTTATTCCTCTTCTCCCAACTACGCTTATAATTTTTAACCCTACAATCAAACTCTAACTGAACTTTTTTAGAATATAGACTGACCATATTCTATGATCTCTATCATTGTAATGGAAACTACACACTGGGAATCTCTAGGTACGTGTTTGCAAATAAGCTATACAAGCACTACCAAATCCATTTTACCGATACAAACCGGAAGGATCAGCACCTAACCGAGCGGGTTTCTGAACATTTACAATGTTTAGTGTATAATGATGCACAATGCACAATGAATGAGAAATTAGTTTCAATTCAACCTAATTCTCATACATTGTCTACAATAATCAAAATTATCCTCCACTGATAGCCCAAAACAGATATTTCTAAACAATATAATTTTCAATCAACAGATACATTTCATCAATTATAACAGAAGTGATATTACATATCCAACTCTACCATCATCGTCAACATAACCATTATCCCAATTTCAACATTAACCAACACCCTTCTTCATTTCCTTTTTCACAATTCTAAATGTCCAAAATTAGGGCAAAACCCCATTTTAAATTTCCCAAATACATAACCCTTTTCAAAGAGCAAATAACTAAGCTAAAAATCATAAAAACAGTTAAAGAAATTCCTACGTCGAAGTAGAAGTCAAGAAGCAATAACGAGTATAAAATCAACGGATTTAGAGTATTTGGAGTAAAAGTTCGAGAACTAGAGAGAGGAAGTAGATCTAGGGTTTTGAAATGTTTAGAGAGAGAAAGAGATGAAAAAGTGATCCAAAAAGGCCGTCTCTTGGACTGATATAAGCACAGACCGCTCAATCGAAGGAATGGTCACTCGAGCGACAAACACAATAAATGATACCGCTCGAGTGACCAGAATTACCCCTCGAGCGCACAATGACCCCCTTCTAATAGTTCAGACCTACAAAAGTTCACTCAAGCGCAAGAAAGACTGCTCGAGAGAAGAATACAAATTCTCAGTAGTTTTGCAGACTGTAAAAGTATCTCTCTTCAGTTGGAAGGATGCTAAGGTCACCCTCAAACCATCATTCTCGATGCCAAGAATCTCAACGTCTTTAACATTTACTCAAGCTATTTATCTTCCTTCAATGGCTCTTTTGGGTCCCCTAAAAACTCATCCGGATTTGATTGGAAGAACTCCCTCTTTAGAAAGGATGGCTCTTTCTCAGCGACATAGGTCTGGACTTGATTCTCAGCCCTAAGAATGTCTATAGACTCCCGTAAAGCACCAGCCATTTCCCAGGCCAAAGTGCCCATAGCTTGTTGACTTGCTGGCTCGCCCATGTTGGCCTGACCAACCCCTTCCTCCTGCACCGGAATTTCATCCGGTAAAGGCATCTCGTGCCTCCTAGGCCTACCACGTCTACCACCACCACCACGTCCACGTCCTCATCCTGACATACTAATGACGATAATAAAACAAATTAGCATATTTACAAATGTGCTGAAGCTAACTCGCTCGCGTCCTAAGGAAGTGGACAACAGTAATTCACTCCACATAAACATATAGTCACATAAGCACATACGAATTTCATTCCAGGATAATGACCGTCCCACGGCGTTGCCAGAGTTCTAATTAGAAACTGTAGTGATCAAGTGCTCTTCTAATAGGACTTCTAGAAACCCGTAGACCCAATCAACATTCTAGAAATTTAATCCCATACTCATATAATCACATAATCAAGTTATCATACAAGCACACATCGTTCATACTAAAGTCTCTATTAAGCGAGACAAACCTATTATGGTACTAACCACTTTCCACGTACCCAAAGTATTCAAACCCGGTACGCTCTAATACTGAGTAATAACACCCCGAAAATAATACAATAATTCAACAGTAAAGACTAACACAAGATGACATAAACTGAGTATTAGGCTTTCATTAATTAGAGTCAATTTATAAAAGGGGCACATGCATTACACATTCAATAACAACCATTATTCAAACACTTCAATTTTGTCATTTTACGGAATTCTCGTTCGAAGGAATCGACACCCATATATATACAAGATTTCAAGACTTTCAGCCTGGACACTCCGACCAACTTAATTTTAAATGTAGTCCATTCCCTATCTCCTCCCAAACAATGATACAAATACAATGTATTTAAAGGCATTGTCATATACAATAACTATCCACAACACATATCCAATGGTTTAATCAAATCGTCATATTCAGTGATATAATTTATATGATTAGTTTCAATTCACCTAATCCTCATGCAATTTCTACAAGAATCATGGCTATCCTCCACCGATAGCCCAAAATAGATATTTCTAACAAATATACGATCTTTATAATAGATAAATTCTCAAATTTCCATAGGTAAGTGATTTAACGAATCCAACTACACCATTCATTCATATATCCTCCCAATTTCACATTTCCCGTACCAATTCCATTGTTTATACAAAAATAATTATTCAACACAAATTAGGGCAAATTTCCCCATTTTTCCAAATTTCAAACCAAAGATCAAATTTCACCATCTTAACACAAGAGAGCTTCATATTCAAAGTCCCATATTCATTTTGCAACCCAACATGGAAAACCCCTCTTTTAATTTGAACCTAAACCCTAGTTTATCCAAAATCACTCCCAAATGTCATCATATATACATAACAACAAATATCTAGGTTAAAAACTATATTAAGGTGTAGAATATCCCTACCTCAAGAGCAGAAGCCCAAAGAAGAAGAGGAAGAACTTCAAAGATGCAAAAGTTCATTTTTACTCGAATCAAATGAAAGCACACAAGATGCTCCACCTTTTTCTTAAAGGAAGTAGGGTAGAGATGCTTAGATCTTGGAGTATTTGTAGAGAGAAGTCAAGTTTTAGAGAGAGAAGGAGCCGATTTAGGGTTTTGGTGTGAAAAGATATAAAATTTCTTTGCAAAAATGAGCTGCTACGAACTGATTTACGCGACCCTCGCTCGAGCGAAGGAGTTGTCGCTCGAGTGACTAGACACAACAAGTGACCTCGCTCGAACGCAAGAAGCCTCCCTCGAGCGAAGAACTTCTCATTCCCAGAAATTCTGCGTTTAGAAAAAATACTAAGAACTCTCAAAGCTCGCTCGAGCGCAATAAGTCTCGCTCGAGCGAAGGACATTGTCTAAAAGAAATACTGGGAGATTACAAAGCTCGCTCGAGCGAAGAAGGCAAAATCTGGGCAACAACAATCTAAACCAACTAACAACCAACCAGTTCCAAACACGCCTAACATATTCCAAAACTCGAATTCAAAGAGTTAAAGAAGGAAAACAAGACATGGATACAATATTAAACTACGAAACCCGAGTCCAGAATATAACAAAAGTTGGGTCAAAACCGGGATCGCTATAAGAAATAAGGATGCAGGAGACCAAAGATTAAAAATTGATCTTTATAAAAAAAAGCATAAACTTACCATGAAAAAATTTATCAATTGAATTCTTCACAATTGCTCTCATCACCAACAGTTACAACACTTGATGAACATCGACTATAATTTGACTTGAATCCAATAAGTGCAAGAGAGAAGATTTATGGGAGATGTAATTTTCTTTTCATAATTTGTGATACATAATTTAAATTTTTAAAATTGATTTAGTGTTTTTTTTTTCTTTTAAAAATCATAAATTATGAGAAATTAGATTTTTTTTTTTTTCTAATGGTTAGATGGCTCACTTTTGAATTTTGAAATGGGTAAGTATACTTTCCTTTTAAATTTCATAAATCATTAGATAGTTATATTTTTATTGTTGAAAAAGTGTTACCAAATAGATTTTTTTTTAAATTTTAATAATAAATAAAAATTAATCCAGAAATTTAGTATGTGGGTTTGGAAATAAATAAAAATAAAAATAATTTTGATTTTTTTAAATGTAATTTTGAAAGCTTTTCTTTTTCAAAATTAGTTGTAGCATAGATAATGTGACCATTTGAAAGACTTTTATAAATTTTAGATTTTATTGAATTGTTTGCCATATTTAATGACATATGATTTTAAATTTTGAAATGGAAATATATATATATATATATATATTTTTTAAAATCATAAATTATTGAATAATTAGATTTTTTTTATTATAATTAGATTTTTAATGAATTGCTTCCATATTAGTGACACACAAATTTAAATTTTGAAATAATAGTGCATATTTTCCTTTTAGAAGTCATAATTTATAGAATAATTAGAATTTAATTGTTATGATTAAATTAGAGTTAACCAATAGAATTTTTTAAAAATAAAAAATAATTAGATTTTAGTGAATTGTTTCCATATATAGTGGCACGCAAATTTAAATTTTGAAATAGTAGAGCATACTTTCCTTTTTAAAATCATAATTTATGGAATAATTAGAGTTTTATTGTTATGATTAAATGAGATTTTAGCCAATAGAATTTTTTTTATTATTTAAAAATCAAAAAATAAAAAAATAATAATAATAATTTGAAGGTTTAGACCATCAACAAGTCATGTCATTAGAAATCTCCTTTTACTTATATAGTATATAGATTCTAACACAAAGTGAAAACGATTTTCTCAAAATTGTCAACATGTGACCTCGTTTAGGAACAGTTATATAGCTTAAAAGTCAAAAATTATTTTCTTTCTATATTTTTATACATTTTTTCATTAAAAAATTAAAAAATTATCTGAAAACGTATTAATTTTTTTCCTACATATTTTAGTTAAAGTCAAAAAGTTAAATGAGTACGTTAAGCAACCATGAAAACTCATAAGAAAAAATGACATTTTGAAAGAAAATTATTTAACAGAAATGCTTCCGACTCTCAGTGGAGGCGACCCCCAGTCAGACCTCCAATAACGTGTCAATCTGTTATTGGTTGAAAAAAAAAAAAAAAACAAACAAACAAACAATTTTTTCACCAATCACAACAGACCCCAGCACCTCCACTCCACTGGGGTCTGAAACTTTATTCATTATTTAACTGCCCCGGGGGCATGACGTGTTCCTATTCTAACGCAATTAATAATTGCCATGCTCTCTTACTGTTTCATATGGCCGGGTCATCATCACTTCTACTTTCGATGATTTGTTATATAGATATTTTAGATCTCTATGTATAGATTTTAAAATTATAAATAAAAAATTTAAATTGATATGATAATTATAATTAGATATTTTTATTTTAAAAAAAAATAGTTAATGTATATAATTTTTAAAATAAATCATTGATTTGTTAGTGATAAATAAGATAAAATAATGTAATTAAAATTATTAAATTAACCCAATAATTTTTTTTTTCCTCTAAATAATCTATATATAGAAATTTAAGAATTTCATAGACCAAATCATCAAAATGGGATCATGTAAACTCACAGACCCGATTGATGCTTCAGTCCTCATAGTTGTAGAGAAATAGTTCGCATTTTTTCTTTATCATTTTATATCAATGTGACAAAAAGTAAACTCACGGGTTTTGAAATAGTACATGACTTGTTCCCACGTTTTTTCTTTGCCGTTTATATCAATGTGATAAAAAGTAAACCCACATTTTTTCTTTGCCCGTTATTTTTTCATTCATTCTAGCTTTTTAAGCTGGCTCTTTTGAAAAGTTGATCAATTAATTTTAAAAAATATACTGCTAAGAACGGCCAAAATAAATGACAAAGTGTCAAATTATCTTAAAATCATTTTGAAAATAGATTTAAGAGTCCAAAAAATCTTTTGGCCAAAATGAGCGTGAGGAAGGTATATCACACTTTAATCCCCAACTTGTTACCTGGAACGATCTCTAATTTTTTCATCGGATGCTTTTCATAGAGCACCCAAATCTTAAGACCAATTAAAAATGAGGTGTTTACAACTACTTCTTCTTTTTGATGATTTACTTTATTGATATTTTAAGTCTGTATGTATAGATTATGAAATTATAAATAAAAAAGTTTAAATTGATTTAATAATTATAATCACATAATTTTTTTAAAAATAAAAAATAGACAATAAACATGATTTTCAAAATAAATCATTCATTTTTTAAATATAAATTTAATAAAATAATGTGATTAAAATAATCAAATCAATCTAATATTTTTCTTTTTTTTTAATATATATAATCTACATATAAAAACCTCAAAATTTATAGATCAAATCTTTAAAATGACGGCTTATTTTCAGCTTGGTAGAGCTTATTTGGTAGAGCTTATTTTCAATTTATTTCAGTTTTTAGTTTAATTTAAGCTATTTTGATGTGTTTGGTTCAGGTTAACAATACAACTTATACCTTTTTGTAAGTCAAAAATCAACTTATTCTTTGAGTGGGGGAGGAGAAGCTTAATTTATAAGTCAAAAAATCAGCTTATATTCACAGTTATAAGCTATAAACTATTAAAATATAAGTTATAATAACTTTCCCACAAGTCTACCAAACGGGACCATTATAATAAACTCATAGACCTGGCTAGATGGTCCACCTCAAAGCTATAGAAAAACCAGTTACCTTTTTTCTTTGTCAAATCAATGTGAGAAAAAGTAAACTCACGGGTTTTGAAATAGGAAAAATGAGTGGTAGCTCGAAATCACTATGGCCTGAATGGCTCGACAGTCCCAAACGACGTCGTTTTGGGCTGTCTTTTTTTTTTTTTTTTCTCTTTTTCTTCTTTATTTTTTTCCTTTTCATTCTTTCCCCTTCATTCTTTCGAACACAGAGGCAGAGAGGGAAGAGGAGAGGAGGGAGAGGGAGAGGGAGAGAGAGAGAGAAGAGAAGAGGAAGAGAGAAGAGAAGGAAGATCGGTGATGGCACGGTGATGGCGGTCGGTGATCTGAAGCTGTTGGTCGGTGATCTGAAGTTGTTGAAGATGATGATGATGTTGAAGATGATGATGATGTTCAAAATCTGAAGCTGTTCAAAAAAATTTTTGATCTGGATGATGGTGGTGCAAAAAATTCTGTTATGTATATTTATTTGTTTTTTACTTGTTCTGGATCTGAAAAAAAATAAATAAAAAAAAGTTGTTGATGATGATGAATCTGAAAAAAAGTTGTTATGTTCTGTATATTTTTTTTGTTGAACCAACAAGAAGAAAAATTTTTATTTATTTGTAGAACCAAATTTTTGTTGTTGATCTGCAGAACCAGATTTTTTTTTTTTTTTTTTTTTTGTTGATGTTGATCTGGATGTTGATAAACACAACTCTAGACGGAGGAGCTGAACCAGACATCCACGTCTAGAGATGTTGATCTGGACGTTGATCTTTAGATGTGGATATAGATGTTGATCTGGATGTTGATCTTCAGATCAAAGACCAAATTGTTCATCTTCTTCTTCTCTTTTATTTATTTCTTCATTGATGTTGATCTGGATGTTGATCTTCAGATCAAAGACCAAATTGTTCATCTTCTTCTTCTCTTTTATTTATTTCTTCATTGATGTTGATCTGGATGTTCATCTTCTTCTCTAGACCAAATTATGCAGATCAACATCTAGAAATAATTTATTTCATCTTCAGAAAAAACACGAAAAAAAAGGACACCAAAACGACGTCCAAATTCGAGCCTCCGAATTTCGAGCTACGAATCGAAACTGTTTGAAATAGGATAGGGCATATCTACGGTTGAAATAGGATAAATAAAAATTTTAAATTGATATGATAATTATAATTAGATAATTTTATTTTTTAAAATAAAAAATAGATAATGTATATAATTTTTAAAATAATCATTGATTTTTTAGTGATAAATCTGATAAAATAATGTAATTAAAATTATTAAATTAACCTAATATTTTTTGCCTTTCTAAATAATTTATGTATATAGAAACTTAAAAATTTAATAGATCGAATCACCAAAATGGGATCATGTAAATTCACAGACTCGACTGATGGTCCAGTCCTCACAGTTGCAAAGAAATAGCTTATATTTTTTCTTTATCATTTTTGTCAATGTGACAAAAAGTAAACTCACAGGTTTTGAAATAGTACATGACTTGTCCCCTCGTTTTTTCTTTGTCGATTATATCAATGTGATAAAAAGTATATGGATAATACTTGACTTGTTTCTGGTTGAAAATTTTAGTTGGATCACACTATTAAAATATTTTATTAGTCAAAGTTAATGAATAGATTTAATTGAATAAGATAAATTGTCTAGTTCAGTTAAACTTTGAACCAGAGACAAGCCTTACTCTTGAAATATATATTAATTATAACACAAAGTTAAAAAGGTTCCCTCACAACTGCCAACATGCGGCTCGTTTGGGACATTCATTTCAGCTTAAAAGTCAAAAAATTATTTTTGTCTCTATTTTTTTTACATATTTTTTTATAAAAAAATTAAAAATTATTCAAAATATATTAATTCCCATAATCTAGATATTAATAAATTTTGGGCACTACCTTCTTTTTAAAAAAATATTTTTATTTGTTGCTTTTACGATTGTGTAAGACTTTGATTTTTATGGGCGTGCAATACAATAGAACCACAAAGCTAGCTTCATAATTGTGCAATGCATATGAGAAGTTTAGGTAGTGTTTGGTAGAGTTTTGTAAATGTGATTTGAGAGTATGAGTTGTATTTTGAGTTTGTGTGTTGTGGAATTATGATTTGAGTGTAGAAAATTTGTTTGGTAAAGAGTTTTGAAAATAGTTTTGGAAAAGAGGTTTGATTTGAGTGGGAAATTATTGATGTGACATTTGATATGTGATACAAAAATTTACAACTCATAACTAAACATACAATTCAAAATTATTTTAAAGCACAAAAAAAATTAAAAAAATTTCAAAAAAAAAAAAAAAACAATTAAAAAAATAAAGATGTAATGATTTGAGTTATTATAAGAAGAATTTGAGTTAATTTTTCTAAAATAGTTTTGAGAAATAATTTGTCAAATAAGTTTTTTTTTATTTTTCAAATGATTTTTGAATCTACCAAAAATATTACTAACATAAAACTATTAGACCAATTGAAATGGCATGTTATTCAATAAAGTGTTTTGGTTTTGGACACTAACGAGCACACCAATACATTGTAAGGACTTAATTGTTTGAGTAAATTTCATAAATTCTTGGGGAAGTTGATTGGGATACTAACGGCTAAAAATTTAGAATTAATTTTGTAAATTTTCACATAAGCTAGTTAGGACACTAATCATTGAATCAAAAACAAAAAAATTTAAAGCCAACTTCATAAATTTTTACGTAAATTGAACTAATTTTGTAAATTTTCGCATAAGCTAGTTAGGACACTAATCATTGAATCAAAAACAAAAAAATTTAAAGCCAACTTCATAAATTTTTACGTAAATTGATCGGAACACTAACCGTTGAATTTAAAAAAAAAAAAAATTTGAAGTTAATTTCATAAATCCAACTTTATGAATAATAAAAATAAATTTGAAGCTAATTTCATAAATTCCCCGAACAAGTTGGTCAGGACACCAGGTGAATAAAAAATATATATATATATATATGGTTACATTGATCATGGGGATAGGGGGAGAATCTCAATCAACCAATTGAGCTATCCATCAACAAAATTTCATAAGCAAAATCCTAGCCCTGACATTCCCAAACAATTAAAATAAAAATTTCCCAATTCCCCAAAAAACCTATTGATCATAAACAACACAAGCAATAGCAGCAGCATGTCGGCGTTCAGTTTCTCTCTTCTTGCAGCAACAACAGCGACGTGAACGACATGTTCACCCAGGCGCCTTCCTTCGGGAACCGATCCAGCTCCGGCGAAGGAGCCGCGGCGGCGGCGGTGGTTGTAAGAGGAGTAGGATTGGGATTGGGATCGGTGGCGGGGAGGTGAGAGGGGTGGATGTGGTGGAGGAGCCAGTCGACGGTCTGGCCGTCGCTGCGGTGGCCGAGTTCGCGGGTGAGTTGGAAGATCCGGGCGGCGCAGAGTGCCGGGACTCGAACTCGATGGCCTCTACCCTCCACCGTATCCTTCTTCAATGGGGATGAACGGCGCCGAGAGTGGAGTTTGCGGGTTTTGGATGAATCGGAACCGAGTTGAGTGGCGGAGACTCGGTTGAGTTGATCAGTTGAGTTCGAACAAGTCGATTGCGATTCCATAATTTTTATTTATTTATTTATTTATTCTTCTTTTGCTGATTTCGAAGATTTCTTTGAGAGCGAGCGAGCGAGCGAGAGAGAGAGAGAGAGAGAGAGAGAGAGTGAGTCCCCTTCTGTTTTAGACTAGAGGGTCCCCTCCATTCTGACTGCATGCATCAAGTTTATATATAGATTAAGAGTATTTTTTTTTAATAAAAAAATAATTTAATTTAATTTTAAAGTTAGTAATTTGGACTGAAGTGATTCCCATAACTTGAGTTATTACTTATTTTTGTAATTCATTAAAAATTAAAATAAAAAAAATCTTTTGGTGCATTTAATTAGTCATTATCTTATAGTGGGGCCATGTAGTTAGATCTGTGGGGTTCACTATATAAATATTCTAATTTAGTCAATTAAATCATTTATATTGTAGATTTTTAGATAACTTATCTTCATATAATTTTATTTTTTTAACAAATCTTCTTAGTGACGTGATAAGATTGACAGAAACGTTTTGAGCGAAGAGGGGTGTATAAGTAGGGCTGAGCAAGTGATCCGTGAAATCCGTAATCCGATCCAGTCTAATCCAATCCGATAAGTTTGGATTGGCTTTTTGAATCCGCGGTTCGGTTCTGGATTGAAGAATTAAAAATCTGTAGTCTACGGATTGGTTCCGGATTGAACCCCATGGTTCCGGATTGGAACCGATCCGAACCGTATACAAATAGTCTATATTTTTATTATACATCCTCTCTCATAGTATCTTCTCTTAATTCTATATAAAATCTAAACTCAAACCTAAAATCGTATAATATTTTCTTTTATTACTTTTGTTTGTTGGTTTTTAGTTTTAATTTATAATGGTTTAAATACTTATAGTGAAACCAAATTTTCTTATGGTTGTTTAAATTTTAGAACAGTTTGTCGCTATTATAAAAAAATATGTTGCTATTGTGGAACTAATATAGCGCTATGTTTATATTTTTATAAAATTAAAGTGTTATAAATATATTTTTGTTATTTAATTATGTGAATCCGTGGTCCTAAACCGATCCAATCCGTATTTAAATGGATTGGTTCGGATTGGTTCCATGATTTAAACGGATTGGATTGGTTTCAATTTTTTAGGAACCGTAGATAACGGATTGGTCCTGGTTTTATCCCAATCCGGTCCAATCCGGACCATGCTCACCCCTACCAAAAAGTTAACCCAAACAGCCATATTTTTTTCCTCAACTTTTTAGTCTAAAAAGTCAAAAAATGCACTTATTTAGGACACCCCAAACAACCCCTTATA